ATGTGAAGAAAACTGCAAGAGATCAAATTCAGTATCTTAAAGAGCAGAAAGCAATAACTTAAGGATAAAATCACAGTAGGGAAAAGATGAGGGTTTCACAAAATTAAGAATGGAACAACATTTGGTCACCATGAAACAGACATTTTTCTGTAGTTGAGAAACAGTAACAACACTGGAACAGGATCATATGTACTTCATCGTTTGCAAGGCAAATTTTTTAATTAGGGAAAAGAGTTGAACTATTAGGAGATCCTGTTATCTTCTGTGTATAGTATTAACATAGTAACCGACTAACTCAATTGGAGTGCACTAAAGAAAACTCTTCACAAACAGAAGAACTTTGAAGAGAAGTGTTATCGGTGAATGACACAATTTTAAAATGCAATGAAATAGGTTCTCTTCAATGATACACTAACCATCTATCGTCTCCAACATTGTCATCTGCTGCCAATTAATCCTACGAGATACAATACCAAGAGCAACATTTCGGACCTGCCAGAATTATTACCAAAAAGAATCAGAATTTTATAACTGTCCCCTTTTTTTCTTGTGAAGAATTTTCAAACTATTGCCGACTATAATCAGTGCATTCTACATAATAATAACTCCACCTCTATTGAATTTAATACAAAGAATAACGCTTACTCACCTCATCAAACACAAGATTGATAAATCTCAAGGAGAGCAGGAGAGTAAGGATAACTTCAGCAACAGGGACACCAAGGTTGGCCAAAGGGGATATAAACCACCGCAAGGCAAAAGCTATCTGCTCCGGTGTTGTGGTTGATAGGAATACACTTGCACTTTGGAAGATCTTTAATCAAACAAGAACTAATTTAGAATCAGAGTGTTACTGAGAGTTAAATTCAAACAAGCCTGCAGGCACTTGACGATGATTGTTTCCTTAAGTTCAGGAGAGAACAGAATATTGGAGTCCAGAGGGGATAATGCGATATTCAGGAACGAATTTCTTTAATTGTCAATTCCTTGTACAGCTTTCTCAAATCCAGAAAATTCACTTCTCAAATAGTTCGGTCTATAGGTTTATATTACTTTTAAGATTCCCAATCTTTACCAAGCAATTCAAAAGATTCAACAAATTCTGAATTTTAGACAAGTTGACTTAAACAGAATAGCCGGACTGTATTTTTCTTCTTAAAGCTGCATTAAAGAATGTTAGATTGAAGGTGGAAGATCTTCAAGTTTGACCTTAAACATTAACTGACTGAAACTAGATCACATTAACTAGATAAAAAAGCAGCCACTTATTTAGATGATTAAGAAAGCAACCATTCGTTTTCATTTGAAAAGTGTAGCTTGATGCTGCTAGAAAGAATACAGAACTAGTTTGCTATGTTGACTCAACAACAAATGGCAAGTCACTACTCACAGTGAAGGTTAAACATGCTGATGTAGTAGCGGTTGATAAGCCTTTTCTGGTGAGTTGTAATGGCCCCAGCTTCAAGATTACATATTTATAACCTTCCAAAGATGCAGGAAAAGATGGTAATCCCATCATTGAAGGTGGGGGAGCTCTTGAAGAGATGAGGGAAGGTGCACTATCAGTGCTTAGGCCCAACATTATAAATAAGATCCCGGACAGCAGTGTGACTCTCCCGAGTTGATCCTGTTACCATATTAGACAATCAACAAGAGAACTCTCAAGCATTGGAAAATTTGTAGTGAAACAAACAAGACAAATGGCCCATTAGTCATCAGAAATAGAAGAAAAACAATTAAAAGCATGAAACTCATTAAGACTCACGGCCAAACTTACCTTCCACACTTGTGAAGGCTGGACCAAAATAGATAGTATAGCTAAGTACACAACCAATGACAAACGTATGACTACATTTGATTTTGCCGGTAAAATAACCAGAGTAAAGAGCCATGCCTGCATAACCAAGAAATGGGGGATCCAGAGTAAAATCAGTCTTTAACTACAGAACAGATGACATCGTGAATGAAAGAAACAGAATAAAACAACCTTTCTTTCAACACCTAACATGACCTCTCTTAGTGAAGAAGAAAGCAATAAATGCCAAGCATAATGCTTGTAGAACTCGTGGAAAACAGATGCCACAATACTTAAGCAGTGCTGATTATAAATATTCCATTATGCTATGGGCAAGACATGCAGCTTCAGAAGGGATATACTCCATCCACTTCCTGCAGCAAAAGATGACCCCAATGTCTATCAAGCAATTATATTAACCCCTTGACCACCAACCTAGCTCCGTCACATTTCTTAAATTAACTTCCTCAGTAGAATGTTAAACCCTTTTCGATTACACACCCTCGAGTCTGGAACTATGTTAAGCAAATAACAATAAAAAAATCTGAAATTAGTGCAAGTATTTATAGAATTTTTCATTACAATCACAACTGCGTCTGTGTCTCACTCTCAAACAAGCTGGGGCCGGCTGAAAATCTCTGATTACTTATTTTAAAAAAACTGATATAGGATTCCCGTGATCAGCACCAATTCTACGTTCATACCAACAAAGAACGGACAATGAGATTATATAAATTCAATTGCTAAAACCGAGAAATGCATTTTAAAGACATCAAAGCAAGATCTCAAAATGAAAGAACGAGCTCTTTTGCTAGCCCCTATCTCTAAGAACAGCATAGTTCACAAAATGCAGCTCTATGAATCCACTTAGCATAGTGAAAAAAAACATGTATAACATGTTTCACAACCTGCTCTGATTAACTAAAATTAAACATTTTCCTTTTATGGTCTTTAATCATTAGCACAACTAAACAAGCAATCCCAATTATTGAACCATCCAATACAATCAGAAACAACCCATGGACACACACAGCTAAACAAGAAAACCCAATTACTGAACCATATTGTACACTTCAGAAACAACCCATAAAAACTGAAAACTCCCAATAATCAAATTAAACAAGTTCAACACTTTTCACACTAAAAACCTCAAAAAAGACAAATTTTTATACCAATTTGATTCTTGGATCAACAGAGTGCACAAAAGTGAATGGAGCAGGTATGTACTGTGCAATGGGGCTAGAAGTTGCTCCAGATATAGCTCTAAATAGTTTATCAGCTCCAAGAAACTTTTTTGGTGACCATTTATCAAGAATTTCTGCCCAGTTCACTGCACCCTTAACACCATCACTATTTGCTGCACAATTGATAATGACTCTTGATTTTTTTGGTTGAAGATGCAGGAAAAGGGGCTCTGTTCTTAGATTTGGAGTGAAGTGATTCTTAGGTGTGAAGGCATGGATTGAAGAAAGTGTTGGTGTTAGAGTTGGGTAGTTGTGGAGGAAATTAGCATACATGGGTGATGTGATGAGGAAGAGAGATTACAGGGATGTGAATGAAAGGAAATTGTAAAAAAAAAATCTTCCTTTTGTGTCCAATTGGAATGTTTTATGAGGGGTATAAATGTGATTTTTAATTTTCTTTAGCTTATATTTATGTCTTTTATATTTGGATGTGCACGAGTATGTATTTAAATTTGTATAAAATTGAATAAATAGATTGTCATATATGGCGTCTTACGTGACAATTTGTGTCGACGTAGCATTCTCTACATTATGTCACATAGAAGGTGTGTATCTACTGATTCAATTTTATGTAAATTTAAATGTCTATTTGTACACACTCAATATTAAATGACATAACTATAGACTGATATAAGTCAAAAGTCATATTTATGTATTATGTGTTTATAATTTGATACTCTTTTGTCTAACAATACTTGTCCACTATTGTCTTTGGACACTTCTTAAAAAACTATAAATAAAAGAATAATTTTATTATATCACCATTTAAATATAATTAATATAATATCTTGAAAAATGTAATAAAAAATAATTATAATTAATGATAAAGATAAATTAGGAATTAAGTGTAAAATTATTCATTGATATAGCATAATTTCAAGGGAAAATGACAAATATTCTTCCGAACTATCATAAATGGTATGTACATACCCTCCGTCATACTTTTGGACTTGGTGCCCCTGTCATCCAACAACTAGAGCATATATACCATTTATACTAACGGACATACACGTGTCATAATCTTATCTACCGATCCGATATTTACTAAATATCGAATCGACGGATAAAATTGTGTCACGTGTCCCTATTTAGTCTTCCGTTAGAGTGACGGACATATATGCTCTAGTTTTTGGACGGCAGTGCAGCAATGTCTCAAAAGTATCATACGATAATTTAGAGGTATATTTGCCTTTTTTCCCTAATTTCAATGGCTCTTCTCTTGACAAATTTCCACAATACGAAAAAGATTTGACACGCATACCTAGAATATTTAATTGATGAAAAATACTCATTTTGATACTTTTTATTTGTCCAATTTTATTTATCATTTTTGACAAATTAAGAAAAGATAATATTTTTTATCTAATTATATTCTCAATTTATTTAAAGAGTAAAATATTTTTGAAGAAGGAAGAACCTTTTTAATGAGTAAAGTGATTTTGAAATTCTATCAATTAATATAGGTAAAATAGTAAACTCACTATATATATCAATTATTATTTTCTTAATAAATGTGTCAAGTCAAAATGTACAAGTAAATCAGAACGACAGAGGGAGTACTTTGTTTATGAGAAATTCAAAATTCGATTTGTGGTGATTCTTTTAGTGGCAAGTTCAACAATTCTTCTTATTAAAATGTACAATTCATTGTTCTTGCTTCTCAATTATTCTAACATCATTCCAAATAGAACACCGCTGATAATATTTCACCGGAAAACAATACTTTTTATGTTTTAAAAAGAATGATCAATTTTTTTTTTTGATAATATTTTAACTTCAACTTTTTACGTGGCACGTTTAAGACCACAAGATTAAAGGACATTTTGATATATTTGACATAACTTTAATTTAGAATCATAAAATTAAAACGTCTTCTTTCTTTTTTTAAACTCCATTTTAAGTCAAATTAGATCATTCTTTTTTAAACGAAGGGAGTAAAAAACTAGCAAATGACAAAGTTCTGTAGACTCTACATATCACATCTTTACAAAGTCCATCAAGAAAAAGACAACCAAAAAAAAAACGAATTTAATATATATTACATACACACATTAAAACTTAAAACTTAGTGAAATGATGAGGAAAGAAATAAAAATTATTTATGGTATATTAATAAATTGTAAAAATTCTCAAATTCTTCCTCTTCTTAAACCTCTCGTGTAATAACATCTTCAATTCCAGCATGAATTGCAACAGTGCAAAACATTTGTGTACCACCTAATATTACCAACATGGTCTCCAAGGTCCTCTACAAAACATTGTAAAAAATAATTAAATTGCAACTAAATTTTTCGATTCACCCGAATATAGAATCAGCGACTCAAATATTGACTCCACCTCTTGTTTACTTTCTTCTGACTAAAAAAAAGTATATGAAAAACTTACCAAGTTTGAGTCACTCCACCCCTTATTAATCTCCTTACAAGCCAACCTGCAATCACAAACATAAAATTAAAAAGAATCACATTTCTTTTTGTTTTTTCTTACTCTGAAATTTTTATGTCATGTATAATTATCAAATAAAAAAAATTAAATATAAATGACATATGAAAGTGGTACTCCCTCTCCGCTTTAGTTGTTACGTTGCGCTTTTCTAGAGTCAATTTCACTCAACTTTCAAAGCTAGTGAAAGTATACGAAAAGTACTATAAATTGCAATTCTTTTTCATATCAATATGATGAAAAAATACATCGTAAAATGTTAGTCAAAGTCCATATCGTATGACTCTCAAAAAGGAAATTGTGACAGGTAAAAAAGAACGGAGGAAGTATTATTTACCCCATAGCAAGTAAAGTAAGTAGCCAAGTGGTGAGAGAAGAGGAAGCAGCTGCATGTAAATTTGGTGCATTCCATTGTATCACATTGTGAATTCCAGTGAGTGAGGAAATGAAGCCCACAACTCCAGCAATAAGTGAAAATATGATGAGAAAACCAGTTGCCATATTCCCAAAAGGAAAGTATATAGGAAAGATCTTAGCTGGGATTGACAGACTTGATGCTGCAAATATTTTTCATCACATTAAAAGTCATCAACACGATGCCTTTTTCAAGTAAAACATGTTGTGGAACAACTTCTACCTTGACAGGACGGTGATCTGAATGACAAAAAAAGAAGAAGAGAAAGGATCGATGAAATTACCTGTTGCTTCGGATCTCTCTATGGCATGATTGACAGCCCAGCCAGAAATTACAGCAACAATGAAGTAAAGGAAAACATTAAGGACCAAAAGCATAAAGGCTGCGGATTTGCCTGCCCCTGAAGCCATGGCCTGACAAGTTTAGCTTTGACAAAAAGCAAAGGAGGGAAATTTTATTGAATCAAAATCCCTTTTGTGATTTCAATACTGAATGCATATATGTATATAAAGCCATGATTGTTCCATTCTTTATCCAGACAACATTGACAGCTTGTAGCTTTTTCTCCAAAGAAATGAAAAGAATCTCTTGGACTAATTTATCAGTAGCATTCTGATAGGGGAAAAGAATCACTTTGGCTTCACACAGATGTAAAAGGTATTTAATAAATATTCTAAGGAAAAGAAAGGCAAGCTTGTACATGAGATTATGCATCTTTTATTCACTTGGAATCTTCATTTACTTTGCACATCAAGTACAAAGTTCTAGAAAATGGCATGCTGGATACATATATTCAAGTGCATGTAACATGAATATGTATATGTTGGAAAGCAACCAAGTTTAAATCCAGATAAAGGACGAGAGTCGTGGCAGATTGATGGCCAACATGCAATAAACTATTATGATGAATTCTATAAAGAACCTGAACTTGAACATAGCAGACAGAAGATAATATCATATAAGTAACTTAACTAGCTAGTTTGAAACTGTAAGTGTACATGACTGATTATGTGTTCAAAGATTTAATTCGGAAAAATCACACCAATTGGAATTTCAGAGAAATGGATTCATCTGGAGAAAAGAAAGGTAAAGATGTTCAAAGTAGTCCAACAATTACACCTCAACTCCAAAGTAGTCTCATGTCTTAAGGAACCTCTTTCTAGGATGAACTGGTAAATTTTGATTCCTTTACAAGAATTTCCCAAATAAGGGAACCTCAACAAGGTACAAGCTTCAGCACTTATCTCATAAATTCTAAGAGGATTATTATGAAAACAATTTCCCCTCAAATACTCTAAACCTTCAATGAGATCTTTTGGGCAGCAAGAGCTTCAGCCTCAAGGGTTGGCTCCCAAAGTATAGTAGTTTCGGCAAGTAATGCGGTCACAACATAGGGGTCCATGTTTGAAGCTGGGCGGCGGTCTTCCAAATAACCTGCATCCACCAACCCCAGAAACAAAAAAGGAGAAATAACAGCATCAGAAGGACCATCAATGCCAAGGTCAAAGTATTTAGCTAAATAGTTGCAAATTCTTTAAAAGGCCATGAGAAACAGTGATACATGGATCATGGATAACTGTTAAGAAAAGAGTTAATTTATCTCTTTTTATTTTGAGATCCAGTATTTTAACTTTCTTTTATGTTGATAAAAGTGGTCCACAAAATAAGCTACATTTTTCATAATTGCACAGAAACTAAAGGATACTAATGTTACTCCACTAATAAAGCAGAAACTTACCTTTGCCTTCCTTCTCAGTGTCACGCCCCACACGGATTGAGCAACCACGGTTAGCAACTCCCTGCATATTTAGAAAATCAAGCAGGAATGAGGATAGTTGGTACACACTATTTATGTCCAAATGAAGGAAAGATCAGCAGCAGGCATACCCATGAAAATTGGTCAATACTAGCAGTTTCATGCTTTCCGGTCAACCTTCTCTCATTTCCTTCTCCATAAGCACTTATATGTTCCTTGTGGCGAAGGGATAGATTAAGAATTGCTTTCTTTATCACTTCAAAGCCTCCCTCTTCTCTCATACTCAGTGTACTGCAAACAACAAACCATGAATGCCTAGTAAGTGAATCCTTCAAAGGAGTTTTACTATGGAAACCATACATTGGTTTTCAGAAAACAAAATTGCTAAATTGGAAAAATGAAAATCGGAGAGGGGGGACGGTTAAACAGAGAAACAAGAACTTGGGGAAAGAAAAACCATGAAACAAAATGATGAATCGTAAAAGTCACTTGCAACTAATTCGTAGCTGTAGCAACTACCACATATTGAGCAAGTGATTTCGGTCTTAACAGATTCATATCCAAAATTTTATCTTTAAGATTCCTAGTTTCTCTCTTGAAAAAAAGGAGCTACCTGTAGTTAGTGTGGCATCCTGCACCGTTCCAGTCACCCTGTGAATACCAGGACCAGAGAAGTAAAAATGGAGTTTCATAATTGTACTTAATTTGAATAACAAAAAAATCATAGCGAATTTTAGTTCACCTCAATTGGTTTTGGATCGAGTGAGAGGACAACTCCTGCTTGTTCAGTAATTCTCTGTTAGGTCAGGGAATGAAAAAAAAAAAAAAAAGAAGAATGAGTAACCTGATTTCTTAGTTCAGCAACCACTTCAAATACAGAAGGACATAAACCACAGCAACAGTCAAAGGAACTAATTTAGGTAATAAGTCGCTCATTTCATGCCACTAGAAAAATATTTCCTTAATTCCCACAGCCGGGACCTGGAGCTGAGTTGATTAGGTATTCAAGTATTGTTAGTTGAATTAGGATGATATGCTTGGCAGATGCCCTTACCTGCAAAGGACATTTATGCAGATTTGGGAAGATAAGTTACCTCGAGGAGGTATCTAGCACACCAGATATGATCTCCACCTTCAATTCCAACACTAGGACCTACTTGAAATTCCCACTGAAACAAACAATTAAGTTGATCCTCCAATTAGAGTACTATAAGTGACAGTGATTTTATTGTACTAGAAAGAGAAGTGATGGAAATGGTACCTGTCCTGGCATAACCTCTCCGTTAGTACCACTAATGTTAATTCCAGCATACAGGCAAGCCTTGTAGTGAGCATCTGATATATCTCGGCCAAATGACTTTTCTGCTCCGGCACCACAGTAGTAAGGACCCTAAATTGAACAGATTTTACAGCATCATTAAGATTGCATTTGTGCTGGATGATTTTTGAGCTGTGTACCATTCTTTTGTGAAAAACAATTACCTGAGGTCGAGGGTAGCCTCCAACAGGCCAACCTAAGGGCCAGTTTACATTTGGCTGGAGTAAGGTGTACTCTTGTTCTATTCCAAACCTAGTCAACACCAAGTGCTAGACAACATTAGCAGTATGATAATAAAATTCAAAAACTGGGAAGCAAAATGACACCAAATAACAACATATACTCTTTTGATCCCATTTTCAGGGAGAGAAAAAAGGATCTTGCTAACATCAAGAAATGATTGTTTCACCATATTATCATCCAACAGCAAAAAGAGAGTTCTTTTACCGGAACAGTTAAAAGAGTATAAGAAACAGGTTTTAAATGTTGCCGAGGGTCTATCCGAAACAACCTCCCTACCTTGTAGGGGTAAAGTTTGTGTATACACTACCCTTCCCAGACCGCACTTTTGGAATTACACCAGGTATATTGTTGTTGTTGTTGTTGTTAAAGAGTATAAGAAGCAGGCTTTACAGCTTAGCATTTATTTGCGAGGAAACACAATGTCTTACTAAATTCATTTTCCAGGAAGTTTGTTGATGAGGTTTTACATAATAAATGAACTATAAGCATATTTTATTTTATTTTATTTTGGATTATTCAAAGGGAACAGTTGGTGTTCTCCTGGTTTTAGAGACCTCAACAAAATAATGCCGAAGAATAGACACACAGTACATAAAACTAGAAAAGTGAGGCAGACGAATTTAAAGTTACCATGGAACTTGAGATGCAACTTTTGGGTCGCTAAAAATTTGAGCAGCTTTATGGCGTTTGTTTGTAGGAATTGGCTCTCCAGCTGGTGTGTAGGCATCACAGATAACCTGTTTCAATTTAGACAAACAATAGTGCCAAACTTAAAACCAATGAGATTAAAGATTCAGTAAAACATCATGAATCAGTATTGTTTACTAAACAACTCACCAAGATGTTGTTACCACCACGGAAAGGGTCTTTGAATATTGCCTGAGGACTGAGGTTAAATGATCAAGGTTAGCTTTAGAACGGGGAAAAATGAAAGGAAGAATTTTTTTTAAAATAAAATAAGGAATAAAAGAAACAGAGGAAAATTCTTCGAAAAAGAAAAGAAAAAAATTCAGTTGCTGATCTTACTATAGAATGACTTCACTGTCTTCTCCAGGTGCTTGTCCAGTACTTGATCCATCGTAGTTCCACTTTGGGAGCTCAGAAGCATCCTTGACTGGTTTTGAAATAGTCTGAAAAATCAAAGGGAAGCAATTAAGAGAAAATACATGAGATAATCCAAATTCAGTTTCCTAAACTTTTGTTGGTTAATTAGAGAAGCAGCATTATGTACCCTTGATTTACTGCGCATGTCAATTCCAGTCCCCCCGATCCTGTTTTGAAGGAAATGTAATAAGGTTAGTCTACCCATAAAGAACTAGATGTAGGCATGTAGCAAAGGTAGTGAAAGTGAAGAAATGACAGACACGATCTACAAATCTTCAAGTGTCAATGTTGAGAAAACAGTATGAGATGCATATAGCAAAGAATAATATACCAAATATATTCAGCAATGATCTTATCAGTGTATGGAGTTACGTCCAAGTTTAGCAGCTGTTCCATTCTGTTCACGGTGCCATTGTCAGACTGGAGGGCAAAAACTCTAAATTTGGCAGAGCTTTTAACAGCAAGTCTTTTGTTCTGCTTCAGCACCACAGAGCTCCACATCTTTGAAGTCAAGGGACTAGCATCTGTTGAGCTCTTTGTCATTCTCATCTGCCATTGTGCAGATGGAGCCAGAATCTGAGCCATGTTCACCTCCTAACCAACTGTAAAAGTTTGAATAACAAAACAAGGAACTTTATCACCAAATTAAGAGTTAAAAATTCCATCAGATTAAGATGCTCATCAGATATACTAATTATCAGGATTTTACACTTCAATTTTAAGTCATCTTATTTTCATGCCATTAATGGATAACAACAACATACTAGTGTAATCCCACAGGTAGAGTTTGGGGAGGGTAGAGTGCACGCAGACCTTACCCCTACCTTGTGGAGGTAGAGAGGATGTTTCCAAAAGACCCTCGGGTCAAGTAATGCATATCAAAGCAATTAGACAAGAAAAATATAGAATCAAAGAGGACATAGCACATAATAGGGAAAACATTCAATATCATACAGAGAAAAGTAAGAGTAATAACAGCCAAATAATGTGATAACTAAAGCCCCAGAAACAACACAGGTAAATAACAGGAAACGAAGGACAAGGAACTAGGAGAATAATGAGAAATGGATTAACTGTTAAACTTCAACTAAGAAATGAGTAATGAACCATACCACTCGGCCCTATATCAAACCAAGATCTCTTCTAGAATCAAGAAATAGTATGTAACAGAACGATGATCATATTGCAATCTAAATCTAAGTTAAGGATGCAGTCGAGTGATACATTCAAGGAAGAAAATGTCA